GGGGGGGGGAAGCTAAAAAGTTGATAAACAAGGGGGGGAAGTAAAAACACAACAGCGGAGGTCTTGGGTGGCGCTGCAGAGCAGAAGCTGGCTTTCCGGCTCCGACTCTTTACGGCACCTTGCAGCTGGGACTTGCCGTGAAGCCAACTGAAGCAAACCACCAAGCTTAATAAATCATACACACCTTCTCTTCCCTCCCTCTTTATGGGAAATTTATTCTGCTTTTGACCGTCTTCCTTAACCACATTTGTGACAGTTTGTTTCCATGCTGATGTGCTTTCTCAACTTACTAGCCTTACTAGTCATGAGAATTAGAAACTTTAAAAACAAAACCTGCTGATTTGTTAATCGTAAGAAAGGCGATTGATTGATTAGAACTATAATTGGCAATTCGGGGGGGAGGGAGATGCCTGCCTTTTTCTGGGGTGTAGTTATTGGGTGGACAAAGACATTGATCCCCAATAAGAACTCTTTCCTCCCCAAATGAAATTTTCCTTCAGCAAATTTCTAACACTACAGGGAGAGAAAGAGACATGGATAATCCTAAAACCTTAAAACCCTTGTAATTGCTGAGTTCACAATCCCTCGGTCATTCTGCCTGCTGCCTCTTTGCTTTGAATGCCTACTTATTTCTAAATGCTGAAGTTTGATTTCCAGGCAAGCACCATTTCCAGTGTTTTACTCTTTGCAATGCTAGGAATGTGAAGACTTAAGGGAAATTTAATGGGGGGCTCAGAATCCCCATTTAGGGGCAATAGCTTTGTTGTTGTTGTGCCTTCAAGTTGTTTCCAATTTATGGCAACCCTATCATGGGGTTTTCTGGGGCTGAGAGTATGTGACTCCCCCAAGGTCACCTAGCTACACCCTTGAAATCTTCAAACTCTTTTCTTGCTTTCTTCGGATTTGGGGGTTGGGGTACACATGGCCCTATTCCTAACCTGGCCCCTCTTTCGGTAGAAACAAACATCTAGCATAGCCTTAGTCAAGCTGGCACCAGCTGAATGTCAGGCTACAGCACCTATCATCCTCAGTGTGACAGGCAGGTTGGGGATGATGGGATTTGTTGTCCAAGACATCTGGAGAGTGCTCTGTTGATCAGAGGTATTTTAGAGGATTGCACAGCAACTATTTAAAAAAGAAATAACTCTTCCGTGTGTGTTTCACAAGAGTGAAATGATTTTTGTTTTCTTTGTTTACCAGCTACATATTCCCTTCCCAGACAGACCCCAGAACTATGGGCAAGAGGATGATGATGATGATGATGATTAATTATTATTAATCAAATGTGCCAAATGAAATGGGTTCCTTCGTGTGTCCAGCACAGAAATCCCAAAATGGGGGAGGAAGGGAGGGCAAAAGAGAAATCGCTCTCTCTTTCTGACACCTACCTCTTACACTATTAGTATGTTTTAATTAGAACACAAGCACGGAATGCTTTATGAATATTCATGAGGAGAGTGATTAAGATGCACAATTAATCTGTGGAGTTTCTCTCCTTTCTCTCCCCCCCCCCCCATTTTAATAACTCTATTAATGGAATAAGGATTGCGGGGGGAGGAGAAAACTGCGTCTTCTCCTTGCCAGAACCAAGAATGATGTGCCATTTTTGGAACTTCTCACACGCTGGAAACGACACCTATTTTATCTCCTCTTTCTATGATCAGATTTTGCCAGTTGTATTTTGTAGTTCCTTTTGTGTATCAATAGTGATGACGGTAGAGGTTGAGTCTCCATTATCCAAAATCTGAAATACTCCAAAATCGGCCACATTGGTGGCTGAGAGAGTGACACCTTTGCTTTCCGATGGTTCAGTGTACGCAAACTCCTCCAGGCATTTGTAGGTCCTCCAGTGTAATTTTATGGTCAACGTCTGCTGGACCTAGAGATTCCTAGAGAGATGTTCTCACCGGTCAAAAATAGTATTTGTGGTTAATTCAATTTCATGGGGGTCCTGTGCCCCTAACCCCAGCAAATATGGAGA